GGCCCGGCCCGCTGCCCGCCGCCGCCCACGGCCGGAGTCGGCGCGGTCCGCACCGAGCCCGGCGGTGCCGCGTAGCGCAGCGGCAGCGGAGCGGGAGCCCGACGGCGCGGCCGCAAGGTCACCGCGCGCCATGGAGGCCAAGGTCCGCCAGAGCCGGCGCTCGCGCGCGCAGCGGGACCGCGGCCGGCGCCGGGAGGCGGCCCGCGACGCCCGCGACCAGAGCGCGTCGTCGGGGGACGAACCCGAGCCCGGGCCCGGCAAGGAGAACACGGGCCTGCCCCGCGCGCCCCCGCCCCGCGCCGCCGCCGCGCGCCCCCCGCGCCGCCGCCGCCGCGAGTCCAGCTCGCAGGAGGAAGAGGTCATCGATGGCTTCGCCATCGCCAGCTTCAGCACGCTGGAGGCCTTGGAGGTAGGTGGTCCCCCCGCGAGCATGCTGCCGCGGGGTCGCGAGCGGGAAGCCCCTGGGGCATGGGCACACCCACCCCTTAGGGCTCCCCGGGCTGCGTGGGCCCCGCGCGCCCGGCAGGTTGCTCCTGGAGGACCCGGCAACGTGCATTGGCTGCAGGTGTGTTTGTGTCTTGAGGTGCTGGGGGGAAAAATCTCTAAATTACACTGTCCGAACTGGGGGCTGTCTGGCTACTCAGCCGGTCTTTTTTCAATTGTGTTTCTGTTGCCAAAATGTCACTTGATTCGGTTCAGGATGTGCTAGGGAGGTGGACACTGCTGGACTTGGTGGAGGCCGTGATAAAATGGATACATGGGGAATTCCTCCTGTTCCTCTCCTCCTCCTTGAGGTTTCTGTTTAGACGGGGAGAGGGAGGGTCATGTTTTATCCCCCTCTCTGCGACCGCTGTTTGCTGCGTGGTTAATAGGATGGCAAAAAAAAAGTTGTTTGTCTGGTTGAGGTATCATGGACAGTATTTGTTGAGCAAATGCTTCCCTTCTCGCCTGGAACCAAGAGAGTGGAGAAGGAAATGGATGCTGTCAGAGTTGGCAAGTGGACCGATTGGGCCTGGGTAGGAATGCCGCCTGGCTGCGGAGTCCCGTGAGCCCCAACCAGGCCGCCCCTGCACCCTCCAGGGGCCCCAGGAAGCACTTATTTTGGGGGACCAGCACCCGCTGGGTTTGGGGCCCCAGGGACCGCTCAGTTAACAGCTCCCCTTTTCCTGGGGGTTGGGGGCCAGTGGCCTAGGGCTCACCAGTCACAGAGGCTGAGCTTTGGGGGAAAGGAAGTCCCCACAGTGCAGGTCTCTGCAGTGAGCCCCCTCCCAGGGGTGCCCCGGGTCCGTAGAGAGCCTCAGGGTCAGGTGCTGGCAGCCAGGGAGAGGTGGCCCAGGGACAGGTTTGCCCCTTCTTGTCTGGGCACATGGATGCACAGAGGTGGGGCACCTGTGTCAGGATCGTCTGTTGTGCACATCTGGGAGGCCTGAGATGCCTCCTGGGCCTAGGGGTCCTCAGCGAACGCGCTTTGGTGGGGTGTGGTGGCACGTGCCTTGGCTCCGTACTGGGCAGGGGAGGTCCCAGGGCTGAGTTTTCTGCCTTTGTACAAGCCAGGTCCTGCCCTGCGGCCTCTGAGGGGATACACCACCCACCTTCCAGAAGTGTACCCGCTCTGCCCCGTGGGGAAAAGACAAAACCCCTGCTGCGGCCTCCGAAGCCCTGCGTCCCATCAGCTGGCCTCTGCCACCTGACATCCTCTCACACCGGCATATCAGCCCCTTTCGGGTTTTGCCTCAGGGCCTCCGTACTTGCAGTTCCCTCTGCCTGGGTTGTTTGGCGCCTTCTTGTCTCAGACGCAAATGTCACTCTGAGAGGCCCTCTCCGGGCATGGCCTGAAGCAGCGTGCCTTTCCCCCTAGCTGTCCATCTCCCCGTCTTATTTCACAAACTTTCTCTGCTGTCAGTTAGCACTCTTTCCGAAGCTGTCTGCTCTGTTGTGATGCTCTCCCCGCCAGAACTTGTAGCTGAAAGAGAGCAGGCCCCATGTCTGTGTGTGTGTGTGTGTGTGTGTGTGTGTCCCCTGCGGGGTCCTAGTGCCCCATACGTGTTTGTGGAATGAACCAGTGAGAGGAGAAGCTGAGGTTCAGGAAAGCTGCGCCCAGGGTCACTCGGCGCACCTGTCGGGTCCACACGCCGCCCGCAGTGGCTCTGGCTGCGCCCCTTCTGCATCAGGGGCCGGAAGGTGCAGCCTCGGCTTTAGGGGACTTCTGCAGGCTCAGACCAGCCCGGCCGGGTCATAGTGAGACTGAGCTTGCGTTCTGCTTGGCGTTCACACAGCCGCACCACCCCAGGGCCACTCCGTGCCCCTTTCTCTGCCCTTCTGAGCCAGGGAGGAGCCTGCCTGCCTTGGAAAGTACGGGGCTTCTGGACGAGTCATAACTTCTCGACCAGCCCCGCTTGTTTGGCCTCATTTCTTGCTAAAGTGTAGTGGTTTTCCCCCAGAGTTCAGATAGTTGATAATGAGGCTGATAGTGACAGCTAGCACTCAGCAGATGAGTGTGCTCTACCAGGTGCTGTTCTGAGGCCTGCGTGTCCCCACGGCACAGATGGGGACATTGAGGCCCGGCACCGTGAGCGTTGAGCCCTCAGCCTGCCTGGCCTCAGAGCTCTGCCAAGCCCTTGGGGGTCCGTCTTGGCCTCCATGCGGACACAGGCTGCCACCCCTGGAGCATAACCTAATGTTGGATGTGGCCCTGCTCAGGAGGTGGGACCTGTGCGCGGTGCCAGTGTCCCTCAAGTTCTCCTTGCCTTTGTCCTGAGGATGCAGGCCCCAGTCTGGGCAGGGGGTCTCACACCTGAGCCCTGGTCCCCATCGGCTTTCTGAGTCTGCATCTATCTGTGTGGGGGCAGTGAGCAGGTAGCAGTGGGACAGCGGTCTTGTGGTTTGGGCAGGACTGGGGCTCTTTCTTCTGTTCTCACTGACCAGGGACATTTGGGACAGACTGATGGACAGCCCTTGCTGTCCCTCTGATTCCTGTGATGTCTCCACCTCCCAGTGTGTTGACCAGAGGTGATGGGAAGGCCCTTGGGGGCAGGCCAGAGCTGCACTGTGGTTCTCTCCCCAGGTCCTCTCAACCTTTCTTCCTTATGGCAGATCTGCCCTCCGACCGCAGGGCAGGTTGTGCGGGCCCCGAGGTCTCCCGGGAGTCGCCTCGCAGGCAGTCAGGACGTGCCCAGCAGGCCTACTGTGCGCCTCCTGGGGCTTTCCCTCAGGGCCGCCAGCCCTTGCCCTCAGCTCCGTCTCTGCAGGTCTGGAGAGAAAGCATTTGCCGCTAGAACCACTCTTCTGGTTGGGCATCCATGTGATTCTTTGTTAACTTGCTTTTCGAACAGCAAAACACTTTTACGTGCTTCAGAAGTCAAGCTTTATGACAAGGTGTATTTTGAAAAATGTCAGGTCCAAACTCAGCCTCCTTCAGTGACCACTCTCGCCAGCCCGAGGCCTTTCCAGAGCATGTTGTGCAGCTGTAACCACGCTTTCAGTCTTGTGTCTCCTTTTGTGCAGCAGGAAAAGGTTATTTACCACATCTGTACACATGTCTGGGAGGTGTGTACCCGGGAATAGAGATGGAAAGGAAAAGACCCCACATTTTAGCTGTGGTCGCAGGTGACTGCCTTCCTCTAATTCTGTTTCCTACACGCTGACCAACACGTGTTACTCTTACGAGCACAGAGCACACCCCGAGGCGGCACGTGAGCTGCTGCACGTGGAGTCGTGCCTGGGGAGCCCTGCCCCTGCTGCACTCCACGCGGGGGGCTGCCCAGGGGCTTGCTGTGCATTTCCCCTAAAAATAATGGCGCTCTTCCAGCTTGGGAGGCAAGCCTCACGCCCGCTGAGCAGTGGGATCAGGTCTGGACCTGGCCCTGTGGGGGGTCGGGGAGTCGGTGAGGGGTGCCGAGACGCCCCCTACCCCCGGCTACATCAGGAGGCTCAATGGTGGTGGTCTGTCTGCGCGCCGGGTTCAGCGGCCCACAGGGGCGGAGAGCACGTGGTCTGTGCTGGCTCTGGGTGCTCAGGGAGCTGGGGTGTAGTCCCCACGGCCCATGGATGGAAGCCCATGCTGTTGGTTTGCCTGCAGGGCCACGTGTCCAGCCCAGCCCTCTGACGGGGAAGCAGGGCTGAGACCACGCAGATGATTGGGCTCTGTGAGGAGAGCCAGCAGCCGGAGAAGCCTTCAGCTTG